CCCCTCCTCACCCCCCCCTCCCTCCTCAGATGAAATACTCCTTCTGGCTTTCACCGGACACGGTCTGGGAGCAGGTCTGGTTGTTGAAGGGGAATTCTGGGATCTCCTCCTGCTTCACTCCTTTCACCTCCTGACTTCGATACGTCTCTTTTCGCCTGTAGAGGAAGCGGGCGGTGACGGCCAGGCCGGTCACCACCACGAAGATGACCAGCGCTATCACACCTGGAGGGGGGGAGGAACGGAGCAGTAGTTTAAATTTTAAATTTTTTTTTTTAAAACAATTTAATTGTATGTTTTCTGACGGTCACATGGTCTGTCTCTGCAGTTCCACTCTCCTAAACCACATGAATTTCTCTCTACAGTCTGTGAACACAACATTATATTCCAAACAGTTTGGTTTTTCTCAAAGCAGCCAAGAAACTTTAACATCAGCGAGTGGTTTCTGCTGAGGTTTAATTGGCTGAACTGCCCTTTATGCACTGAGACACAGCCAGTTCACTTTAATGGACAATTTAAAATGGCTTTTCTCAGGGTCTCACCTTTTTTTTTTTTTTTTAATGGACATTACAGATGAAAGCCTTTTAGGTCGTCTCTGTGATTCAGAGCTACAAAGTTTTTAAATGAGTTCTAAACGCTCCTGCTCTGGTTCACTGCTCCGACTTCCTTCACAGAACCACAGCTTTGTTCGCAGCAGCAGCAGCAGAGTTCGAGTGTGGGCTTTGTTAAAAAATACATTTAGAGCCAGAACCAGCCTCCACCGAGGTCACCCCCCGCACCCCCCCACCCACCCCCACGCCCGGAAGTCGTCAAATCATCTCAACAATGTCAGACCGCAAAACAACTGCAAATGAGATTTTTTTTCTTTTTCCTAGTCTGGTATTATATATATCTGGTATTAAAAATATCTGTGATATCAGGGTCGTCTTTACAGTGACCTCAGAAAACGGACGGTGAATGAACTCTGAGAGAAGGTGCAGTGACGGTTCAGTACCTCCAATCAGTGCCGACTCAGTCCTGATGGCATTTACTAAAGGTTGACCTGAACCCACTGAACCAGACTGGTCTACAGCAGAGACAGTGATAGAGTTGACGGAGAGGAGAGAGAAAAAAAGAAAAAAAAAAAAAGAAGGAAAGATGTAATGGCAGAAGTGAAAAGGGCAAACGTGAGAAAACGTCAGGAAAGGTCGCGGAGAAATGGAAGAAATGAGTGAGCGTTTAAAAGATGGGAGGGGAAAAAAAAAGAAGGTAACAGAGGGGGAGGAGACGGGGGAGAAAAACAGATATTTACAACAGTTGGAAAATAACTACAGCAACAATGTCAGTGACCTCCAGGCCGAGGTCAGACTGGTCAGACTGGTCAGACTGGTCAGCAGCACAGTGACCATCACAGACCTGGACTAAACCTGGTCCTCAGGTCTTGTTGTCACGGCGATGATTCTGCTGCACCGTGGAGACGCAGATGTTTGTTGGAAAGCTACCGTAGTCGTATCATCAGCGTGTGAACCGTGACCTCGGAGTCTGAGGTCACGGTTCACACGCCGATGATACGTTCATGTGGTTTTGTCACACGTTTGTCTCGAGCAGGAAGTGAAACTAAAGTCACTTCATCACCTCCACAGCAGAACCAAGAATTCATCTGATTCTTCTAAAAAATTGTCAGAAGATAAAAGCCCGTCTTCAGCGATTCTTCTAAAAAATCAGTTGAATTTGTCAGAAGATAAAAGCCCGTCTTCAGTTAGAATGTTTTTTTTTTTCGTTGTTGTGGTTTATGGTGTTTTTTCGGGGCTAAAGCAGTGGCTCCCTAACTTTCTCGTGGCACCCTCCTTCTGTAGATGGGAACTGTTTTTGTTTTTATTTGAAGACCTGACGTCATGATGTAACGAATCTAATCCAGTTTGAATCCAGGACAGTCCCGCGGTCGTTACACGCCGTCGCCTCCACCCTCTGGATTTTCAATAGAAAGCGTTTCAGTTCTTCTCATTATTTTCCTCAGAACTGACGCGTCAGTACACGACGGCATCATTAGGATGAAACATCGCATAACGACATTTTGATCACTTGTCCGACTAACGATCGGCGACAGCGCGGCGGCTCCATCAGCGCCGTCCTTGATGGTGAACTTCACGCTTCTTTGAGTGCGTTTTTCTTTTCTTTGTGCCGCTGCTGTGATTCTGGTTGGAAATAAAAGCTTCACATCTTTGACAGCGAGGCACAAACACGGCGTCAGCGCCGAGTGGAGGCGTTTTATCAACGCTCTGACACGAGGAATACAAACGACGGCGACGAACGTGAGAATTAAAGAAGTCCAGTTTAAAATAGAACTCCTGCAGATGAGTTCAGTGAGTTGATCATTTTTCACGCAGCAAAAAAAAAAATCACAGCATCAAGAAAAACATCACATTTTTATCACTATTTCTTTTTGTTTTATGAAAAAGTCAAAGACTTGATTTATTGCATTTGTTTCCCGTGGGAAGTTCACAAAGTTTTCTAAAAAAAAAAAAAAACTAATTTCTGTGGACGCAGCGACCCCGACCTTTGACCTCCAACTAATAAATTCTGAACCCACCCTTGAATTCAAGCTCATATATCTGCCAAATCTGAAGCAATCACCGGAGCGTGCTCCTCGGGGATCCTCTTCCCTGACCTTTGACCTGTATTTTCTCCCCGACTCCAGACAGATAATCCTTCCAAAGTCCAAACTTTATTTTTCTGCCAACCATTTCATATTAAAGCCCGGTGCTGGACACGAACTAAAAATAAAGTCCACTGCGCTCCATTATCCCAGCGCAATAATGTCCGTTATTGGCCTTTAATTAATTTTTTAGTAAAGACTGGAGCTCTTTGGCTCCGAGGACTGAAGGGAAAGATCAGGTTGAATCTGCGGGGAGTTTTTTTTAGAAGAAAGAATAAAACCATATTTTATCAGAACCCGTGACCCGGTTCTCGTCCTCCGCAGAACAATTAAGGACCCGATGAGGCGGGCCGCGCCGACGTCCTACCTGACAGGTGGTGTTTGTTCTCCGCTGCGTACGGATTGGCCGAGGCAGAGGAACCGCAGCTGGACTGGAGCAGAGGTCCACTGACGGAGACGGGGCTGGTGTCCGGGTGGAGCAGGGCGGCCTTCAGAGGACTGACGGAGTTAAAGCTGACCACGGAGAGACAGCCGGAGAAGCCCAGGGAGCCCAGACGGGCCAGGTCTGGATCCAGGTCCTCGGAGTCTGAGGGGAGAAGGAAAGGACTTGGGTCAAATCATTCCCTGAGTTTCACCTATCAGTAGGTGGCGCTGCTGCTCTGTTAGAGCTGCCTGCTGCTTTAGTTACCAAACTGTGATCTTGAAGATTTCAATTCAGTCACAAAAATAAAAATCTGTATGAATCAGATTTAAAAAAAAAAAAAAACCTCGGAGAGAAAGAGTTCCATTAGAGACGTGTCGGTGACAGTGACTCGTGGTGGAACTGACAACCTCCTGCTGACACACACACACACACACATGGGTCTGGGCATCGGTTCAGCTCCTGTCACGGTGGTCGGCCCTGAGATCCACTGACCTGGAGTTAGAGCAGCAGTTAGAACTGAAGCTGAGAACGACCTGAGAGCCTGAACCTGACAGTACGGAGGATGACTCAGCTGGGAACAAGTCAGTCAATCAGTCAGTCAGACAGTCAGTCAGTCAGTCAGTCAGACAGTCAGTCAGTCAGTCAGTCAGACAGTCAGTCAGTCAGTCACTCACTCAGTCAGTCAGTCAGCTGAACTGTCATAACTACAGTCACTGACAGTACGAAGGATGACTCAGCTGGGAACAAGTCAGTCAGTCAGTCAGTCAGTCAGTCAGTCAGACAGTCAGTCAGACAGACAGTCAGTCAGTCAGACAGACAGTCAGTCAGTCAGTCAGACAGTCAGTCAGTCAGACAGTCAGTCAGTCAGACAGTCAGTCAGTCAGTCAGACAGTCAGTCAGTCAGTCAGACAGTCAGTCAGACAGACAGTCAGTCAGTCAGTCAGTCTGTCAGCTGAACTGTCATAACTACAGTCCAAATTTCCCTCATTACACCCGACACACACACTCTCTCTCTCAGAGATTGTGTGTGTGTGTGTGTGTGTGTCACTCCTTGAGACACAGGTATGAACGCTCTCTGGTCCATGTTCCCTCCCCCATCGTGGTGGCGGTGGAATCCGACAGCTCACCTCCCTGTGTCCATGACACGGCTGCTGATGGAACAGGACGCCTGATGAAGAGGAGGAGGAGGAGGAGCTCCTCTCAGCTGATCCTCTCTCAGCTCCATCACCCGC